CCCCCCCCCCCCCCCCCCTCTCTCTTACAGAGTAAAACAAGACTAGAAGATGCGCATAAATGTTGTTGGGATTGCATGTCCATGATGCGACAAAGATAGTAGTGCGCTGCACGCTGTGTTTTGAGTTTGTTCATCATGGTCTCCTTGCAGGTGTCATGGGTTGTTGCTCTTTTGATATTCAGGGTGGTGCCTAAGACTCTGTGATAGTATTTCAGCATCAAACATATCCGTTAAAAATTGGAACGATACAGAGAAGATTGGCATGGCCCCTGCGCAGGGGTGACATGCATAAATCGAGCAGTTGCCACGTGAATTTCTTGAGGAGGTGAACTGCAGACTATCAAAACAATTTCAAAAATATTTTTCTTGGATTTAGTCATATTTTAATTTGCATGTGGATAAAATTCTGGAGCTCTGATTAATTATTTCACCACTTGTCTTTCTTTTCTTGGTTATGATGTGGCTGGTGGGTGAGTCGTCTTTCCTCCATATGTGAATCTGGTGGCAGGAATGGGATGGATTTGTGCAAGGTGCGTCGACTGGCTCAGCGGTTGTGGCCTATGGAATGTTTATAATTTTCGGTATCGTGCTAAGTTTTTATGTCGACACATTTGCCGAGGACAAGTAAGTGCGCATGTGGGTTGATTATGGTTTTCTTTTCTATTTATTTTCATGTTTTTTCTTGCTTTGGGCTTTTGGTTTTGAGAACTCTTGACCTTGTGCTCTTGGTTTCTTGAATGTAAGCTCTCTTGTGTATTTTATGCTCATTCTCTTTAAATTGAAATTCGAAACATATTCCCTTCCCCCATCTACCCCCCTATCCATCTTTCTGTTGCTCTCTCTTATCCTCTGCGCCATTTGTCGTGTTATGCTCTTCCCTGGCAAAACAACCTGCTGCCTTTTGCCGATGCACTTTCAATCTCGAGTCTTGAGTCTTTGAGCCAACAATGATATGATGGCAGTGGGGGAATGCTTGGGACAATTTCTTGACAGTGTTTGGTCTTGACGTTTTTCCCTTTGCACTCTTTCAATTGGGTATTCAAGAAGGAACAAGGTGGTGGAGGTGCCATGTGGCACAGTGGCATGCATGGCAAATGATGGATGGGCTGCCATTTGGCGAGGAGAGGATGATGGATGGGGGTGCCATGTGGCACAGCAAAGGGGCATTGTGTGGCACTGCGCAAGTTTAGGGGTGCCATGTGGCACAGAGAGGGAGCCATGTGGCAGAGGAAAGGGGTCCATGTGGCACACAGAAGAGTTGCCATGTGGCATAGTGGCATCCATGAGAGATGATGCATCGTGTGCCATGCGGTAAGGGGACAGATGATGGATGAGGTCCCTTGTGGCAAGAAGACATGGTGATGGGATGCCATGTAGCACAATGGATGGGTGCCATCTGGGACAATGGCGTGGGTGCCATGTGGGATAATGGCGTGGGTGCCATGTGGGACAATGGCATGGGTGACAGATGAGGGATGGTGTGGCATGAGGACCACCACTCTCCGTTCCAATGGCAGCGGGACAGGAGAGAGCGTTCGGGTTAGGAACAATGAACCCATATGGCGAGTGGGATGGAGATGGAGATGGCGATTGTGGATAGTGATGTTGTCACTGCGGATTGGATTAGGACAGCATCGACAGGTCGGCGGCGTGAACGAAGGAGTGGACAAGTGATCGTATGACTGATTGAATGAGTGGGTGAATGGACAACTGAATAGAGAGGAACACGGATTGGCCGGAAATGAATGATTGAATGAATGAACGGGGGAGTAAACAAATGATCAAACGGACCGTAGGAAGGAATGACAAATGGCATTTCTTCTTATAGATTTAAGAAAATTGCAATGAACTCAGTTCGAATTCGCACAGACACAAACCAGGGTCCTAACTTTTGGTCCAATTCAAGATTTAGGGGTCCAATTCAAAAGTCGCTTCTCTAGCTCTATAGAGGTCTGAGAAAAGTCCTAGGGTCCAGGGGTACAGGGTTCAGAGTCACATCAGGCAACCTGAGCCCATACGTGACCACAGTTGATTCTAGTACAATCAACAGTGAGGCCCAACCCAGGAAAAGCAGACCAAGAGTCAAAGATTCCTCAGCTGTCAACGACAGCCACAGATCAGATGCACAATCAAAGGCTGCCTGCATTTATTCCAGAAGACCCCAGGGCGTACTGGGTCAACAAGGCACATCGAGGCCAACAGCAAATCTGGGGCGGTCCAGATCGAAGAAATCTGGACTGTCAGAGGAGGCAAGCTTAGGCCAGCCAAGACCTGGAAACTCTATAAAACAGTGGCCAGCCCCTCTGGCTCAAGTATTTTGCTTTAGATGTGGTGGTGGACGGAGTTCTGGTGGGTGAGGTAGAGAGGAGAGTGAGGCTGGTGCCAGGGAGAGGAGAAAACACCAGCCCAGGAAGGAGAGAGAGAGAGAGTAGTAGCCGTAGCTAGGAAGGGTGCCTGACGCCATAGCTGTACCTTGGAGGTAGGGCAAGGAAGATGGTGATCAGGACTGTGAGTGGAGTGAGAGAGTGGCGCAGGAAAGCATTCCTTGACTTACCTCGACGCCACTGATACTGGAGCGGGAGCTGGTGACATCAGGAGGTTGATGAAGGCTGGCGCCAACCACCATAGCCAGCATTGATGCTGGAGGTTGGGTGCCATAGCTGGTACCTGCAGAGGGAATTCATCAGTGACTTTCGGGGAGAGAGCTCCATTGCTGAGGTGGCGAGTTGGCGGGGAGGAACCCAAGGAGGTGGAGAGGGAAAGGCAGTCAACTCAATTGTATTCTTGACTATCAATGAAATCACTCTACCTCTTCCTCTCTCTTCATTGCATCTCTACCTTTCTCTATTTTCTGGCGATTCGCTGCTTATGCTGGGACTGCATTGAGCGATCCTTGACTTCTTCGCACTGCGAGTGGTCCCATTCCAGTGGTCCCATTCCGGTGGTCCCATTCCAGTGGTCCCATTCCAGTGCATTGGTGATACTTGTGTGGTCAACTTGTGAAAGCTTATCAGAGTTCTCACACTGGACAGCCTCATTACAAAATGTCTATAGTATAAAGTATATACAATACAGTCAATACTACTCCACTATTTCCTAGGCTGCCCCGGCGCCCGGCCGGGGTCCGGTTGGGCCCGGGGGGTCCGCCCGGGTGAACCGGGCGACGCAAAAACAGGGCCAGGAATATATATATATATATATTTTTTCTGACGGTGGGGCTGTGCTGCGCTGCACTAGAGGACCCCGAATCTGCAACAAAAACTGAAGTTTGGGGGGGGGGGGGCTTGGGTTCTGGGGGATGTCAATGGTGGATGTCACAGACCTTGCAGGTGTGTCTGTGGAAGAGGAACAAGAAGAGGAGGACGAAGAAGAAGAAGAAGAAGAAGAAGAAGAAGAAGAAGAAGAAGAAGAAGAAGAAGAGGAGGAGGAGGAGGAGGAGAGGAGGATAAGACGAGGAGGAAGAAGAAAAAAAAAGAAGACGAAAAAGTCGATGAGGGGGGAGGAGGCGCGGCTGAACACGCGTGTAGCAGGCGCGGCCGAACA